TGTTTCAGAATTGCTCAGGAATTCTGGTGCATTCAATATCTTATTGGCTGTTGCTCTTTCAATCTGGGTCACTAGCATGGATTCCATTTGTTGGCTCTTCCACTGATATTTACATCGACTAGCTTGTCCTTTAAGAGACATTGTTGTGTCTTTTGCTGTAAAATGATTCTTCTTCTTGTTGCTGCAATAAATACCTGTTTGGTCCAAGTTGATCACATGGGTTAGACAGGACTGCAAGTATATTCTTATGTGACCTAAATTAATTGATAATCCAATTGGCTAGGGCGCCTTCATGTCTTTTAAATAATCAACCAGAGTAAGTACATTCTCTCTGGCTGTGTATGGAACATGTTTGGTGATAATTTAGCACAGTTGCTTTTATCCCTTAAACTGATTTGCTTAAAAAATCAGGTTACCTCAACTGTACTATCAGAAGCCATTGAAAAGAAAGAAGTACTCAGGGTGCATGTACAACTATGCTTTTAAACTAGATCTAAACATTAACTGAATTACTTTTAGTTTACAAAAGCTCTGTGTTTCATAAACCACTTTTTAAAATGATGATACCGTTTTTTGTCATCCTTTGTTGCATCTCATTGTTGCTGCATGTCACTTTTTAGGGCAGGTTCTTGGGGACAACAATGGACCATTCTTGCCTAATCTTTGCTGCAAAGGTCACCATCAGAAGCCCGTGTGTCAGCAGTAGCCCAAGTGGTGGACAGCTACAGAGTGTTGTTATCCTATAATAAAAAGTACTTGAACAAGGACCTTTATGGCAGGATTACCATGCATTATTCTAAACAAGAAAATTTAAGATTATATGAGATTTAATATTAATATATAATTTAGTAATTGGGTTTACTTTAATACATTGCAAACCATGTACTAATGACATTGTAGTTCTCCCAAGATTATGTCATCACTTTGCCATAGGAACAAAGACACTCTTCTGATGCAAAGTGATGCAACATTATTTTTAAAAAAATGAAAATTGAAGGAATATTTGTGGTTTGGGCTCATATGTATCCTGCTGGCGTGAGGTGCATTAGCATCAGAAGGAACACTTTGGCATTCTACATTGGAACGCTCCTGGAAGCACCCATCTAAACTTTTGGTTCAAGACATCAGGAGACCCGTAATGCGGCTTTCACCAGGAGAAGGAGAAGGGAGCCAGTTTCCCCTTCTCTCTCTTCCTGGACACGGAAGTGGTGGGGGTATTGGTCCCTATTGGGGTCACAGTGCCCAATGGATGGCTTCAGACCCTCGTACTTAATGTAATTTTTGAAAGGGGAGGGGGGAATTTACCATCTGGAGGAGTTCATGTAATATATTGCTAGTTATATGCAGGCTCATTCCAACATGTATCATTCTCTCTTTTTCACAGTTGTTTCCAAGTTTGGCACTACATTCCTGGAAATGCAGTCTGAGAGTTGGGCTTGTTTTTATAACAAGCAGACAGATGGTTCCTTATGAGTATAAATATCAACATGATTTATAAGGTTCTGTTTGTGAATATTTTTTAATCAAGGCTGTCAATTAGCATAGCTGTAGTGAATTTATTGTTGAGGTTTGCAGGTTTGGAGCTGAATCTGTATCTTCTGAAAAGGTTTATTTTTGTTGTTGCTGTTGTTAGAATGATAGCATCTTCTATTTGTAACAACCTTTTTTTGGGACACAAAGATAAATAAGAAATTGACATTAAACATTTTAATTTTTTGGGTTCCAGCTTCTTCAAACTGCTTCTTTTAAATACTGATCAGTGAAAATGATTAATAACAATAAAAATGAAAATGATTTAAAATATTGGCTAAAAGCTATTATTTCATGCAGTGATTGTCTCATTGCAAATAAATGGATAGCCGAATAATATCAAATGATTTGCATCCATATTTGACCTTTAAACATAATTTGGCTGGTAGTCTCTGACCATATTCAGCATGCTTAAAGTGTTTTACCATCTCCTGTAGCATGTCTGCATTTTCTGACCATCTTCTGTAGTTTGTCTGCAATCTATGATTATCTCCGGTAGCATGTCTGCAATCTATGATCATCTCCTGTAGCATGTCTGCAGTCTCTGACCATTCCCTGTTAGACATGTGCACCAGCAAAAAATTTGTTTCGTTTATTTTCGTTTTGACTCAGATTTTGCATTATTTTGTTTTTCGGATTCGGGTCCGAAATTAAATTCATTTTGGAATTCGGACGAAATTCGTTAGCAGTAGTCCGGTCGAAATTTCGTTTTTTGGACGAAATTTCGTTTTTCAGCGATAGTCCGGTCAAAATTTTGTTTATGGACGAAATTTCGTTGCAGCAGAATGGCATTAGGAAAAAAAAATCAATTTTTTTTTTTTTTTAGTTTGCAGAAGATGAAGAAAAAAAAAGCGTGGGGTTCCCCCCCAATTCATACCAGACCCGGTCTGATCTGGTAGGAATGTTAGGAGGGCCCCCACCCCAAGTTAAAACACAAAAAAAGTGCATGGGGTTCACCCCAAAATCCCTACCAGACCCTTTAGGTCTGGTAGGAATTTTAAGGGGGAACCCCAGCCCCAGAAAATGGGGGAAAAAACATGGGGTCCCCCCTAACAGTCCTACCAGACCCTTCATCCGAGCACTGGCCCGGCAGGGCGGGACTTTTTTTATTGCGGCAGGTCTGCGGGGGTCCTGCATCCTGATTGACTCTGGATTACATCGATGGAGCCATTTTTTTTTAATTAAAGGAATAGTCAAAAATTGACTGTTTTTTTTTCAATTAAAGGATTTTATCACAAGTCTGGACTTTTTACTAACTATTTGATTTAACCCTTTAGTGAATGGGTAGGGGTACAAGTACCCCTTACTCATTCACAAGGGGGGGGCGACATCTGGATGCCCCGCTATTGAAAGGGGTACCTCGATGCAAATAAGCCCCCTTGCCCGCAGACCCCTAAGGGGAAGAGGCCCTTGTCCTTATCGGCATGGGGACACCCATAACTTAAAAAGTGATTTTAGGTACCACACTTGAGGACCTACTGAAATATAAAATAAATTGACCATCAACAACCCTAGGCTTAAACAAGACTCAGTGGAAATATGAAAGTCAATTGTCTGAAAAATGTAAAAGTAAATTGTTTCTGGTGTCCGATTTGTGGCAAAATGTTGATGGACCAAGTTATTCTTCCAGGTAATGTGAAATTACATATCAGCTCCATTCAACTAAAGCCAGTATGCTTTTCATCATTCACTATTACCATACCTTTCCATTTGTTAACTGGCTCCGTAGATAAAAAATGACTTTCAGATAAAAGCCTATTTTTCTATTATCGTGAAATTAGCTTTGCATTCAAATGACTTTTTCAATCAGTGAATTGGCATCATGAGGCATTAAATTTCTAAATGTTTCAATAAAGCTGCCTTCACCAAGGAAGCGATAAAAAATGACCTTTTGAACAAATAATGAAAGAAAGTTTAATAAAAATATTGAAGGAACTCATTTCAGTTTAATTTAAGCACCCTATTCAGCCTTTTGTGGTGAACTAAACCTGTTCTTAAGGAACTAAAATGATGAAATGTTTCATGTGAGTGACAAGCAACAAGAGCTTTGAAAAAGATAGTTACAGCATGTGATCCGTTTACCTTTTTTTGCAATTTTAATATATATGGTTTCTTAGTTGTATTTTTTTATTTTCCTTTTTTTTTTTCTTTTGTATACTATATTCTTTCTTGGTTGTATTACATATCACATGAGGGGTGCAACAGGTATAAAAAAAATAATCTAATTAGATATGGAAATCCTGTCCACTGTTTTCACGTGTCAGTATGGTAATTAGAATGGCATCCCAAGCTACAATACCATCATTCTCTTAAAATGGAAATATACGTTGCTATTGGATAGAGTGATTGAACGTTTGATTCCATTTTAAGTCAACATTGAAAAGCAATCTAAGGTTTTTCATCGACTGCAAGGAGATGGGAAAAGAATTGTTCTGCCTGAACATAGTGGAAAAGTCCAATCGCTTTCTAGGAATGTGCCAGTTTCAACTTAATTGCCCAGTTTTGACTTCACAATCTTAGTTTCCACCCTTTACTTGCAATGGTATTCATAATTCCCAGTGGCCTGAAGGTGGTTGGAATTTTAAAAAAAATGCCACATGCATGACCTGCTTCGTACTGCAAACATTCAGGGAAAAATATTAGTACTCTGGTCATCATGTCTGGTACTTTCAACACTTGGGGGTTGATTTACTAACCTTATAAACACACCACAAATATGTATACACCTCTGTAGTGTGTTCCCTCCCAGCATGATCTATGGGTGGAATCTAAACACCTTTGTAGTGTGTACACACCCAGCAGGTGTGTTGTGCAAAGCCCTGCATGAATTTGCAAGGTGATGTTGTGTAAATTAGCTCTATGTTGTGTTGCTTGCGTTGATGAATGCAGGAATGTAAATGCATGAGCTAACCATTTTTCTCTCAACTGTGAAGCAGCATTATATATGCATCATGTGCATGATTTTTCCATATATGGCATTAGTGGAAATATGCTTTTAGAGACTTTTTGGTTGATAAATACGTTTTGCTGTGTGAAAATCACACGCACCTGATGCGTGCGTGTGTTTAGGTTAGTAAATCACCCCCTTGTAGTCACTGAACCAGAATAATCTTACCCCTCAAGAGTTCTGCTTCATTCTGACTTTGCTGCCAAGTAACAGTTCAATGGCTCAACATATTGAAAGTAGAGGATTAGCGCAACTGTCAGACAACCAGCATTTTTAGAAGGAGGTCAACAAGAGTCGGCCCTATATTTTTTTGACAGTGATTTTTATTCTTATTGTGTTATCTTCTCTAAATAGTAGAAAGAATATCTGCAACTGTTGATAAGGGGCTACCTTTAGAAAAAAAACCTCTAATTCTGTTAATTCTGATTTGTGTTAACCGCCACATTTTTAAGAAAAAGTACATCGAAAATGACATTTCTATCTAAATTCTTTATTTGGTACAGAGACATTTTATTTCGAGATCAAATTTTTATTAACTTATCATGTTTAACACACCAGAGTTTTCATTTTCTGGGATTTGTATGAAGGATGTGCTGTACCCCAGAGTATCATTAAACAGTGGAAAATATAATTTAAAGATTAAAAAGATTACATAGGCATGAAAGAAAGGGCATAGAATATAAGCCAAGATTAGGAGCGTAGCCTGCTGATAAACTGCTCTTGTAAGAGATCTTCCCGTGAATAGTTTTTCCTGAAAAACACGAGAAAAAAAAGGGGAATTACATTTTAGCAAATTCATGTGCATACAAATATTTATTATTAATATGCCAGTTGATGAAGTATAAAATCATAAAAATTGCCGAGCTCATTACATGTGAACAATATAATTACACATATACTCAATGTGCAAAAATTGATGAAGTATGCCATAATAATAAAAATAAAACTGACCTTCCTAATTGTCCTTTTGGTTTTTAAATTTGCTAAGATAATAAAGATAATGCAAAAGTTAAACAAATTAGCTTAAGTGTCCAGCATCTTGAAAAATATTGCATATAAAACACTGTATACATTTTAGATTAGAGTGAACAAAAGGGACACCATAACTGTGGTAGCATATCACTGTTGATGCCTCTTACACATCATGATCAAACCCCGAAAAATATCTAAGAAATACTGAAGAGTCAGAAAATAAATATATTGACAACACTGTAACATTTATAGATATAGCAAGTTAGATCAATTACAAAGTTGATTACAATCTTCCTTAACTTCTTTATCACATACTAAATGTAATAAAAATTACAACTGATTAACTATATACTGAAACCAGAAATTAAATAATTTAAAAATAATTCTATATAAATCAGTCCATCATATAGCATGTTTCCCTAAGGCCCTATGCACGATATAGTGTTGCATTAACTGTGTTACATTCAGGGCCCATTCTAAGTAGGAGTTAAGCGCTGGTAATGCACATAACATAATGCACTGCATTATAATGCCATTCATTTTTGAATGACCCCCAGCGCAAGGCATTAGGAAAAAGGATACAGTTTCTAACATGTCAGGGTGTTTGGGCAGACTTTTCATTTTAATAGGCTGTCTTAACGCAATGTGCTGGTACATATGTATGGTAAGTAAATGGGTCCTCAATCATTTTGAATGGCACCACATTGCACCTAAGCTGCACAGCACAATACATTGAGTTATAGCACAATGCAACACACATATTGCATCTCAAATATGTCTGTTTTCCCATGGGTTAGCATGTTTGTAAGCCCTTGCAAAATGAACTAGCTTGTCTTAACGAATGCCAACATGTTACAACACACATGCATTAACCCAGCACATTGTGAGAATGGTGACTGAATGTTTCATTTCCAATTCCTTTTTTCACTGTTATACGTTACTCAGGAGTCTTAGAAGAAGTGGAGCTGAGTTCAGGTAAATCATTTACTTAAAGTAGACCTCCTCCTTTTTTTTAATAAACCACAAACATCAATTAAATTAACATAGGAAACATGCCAATATTTCTATGGATGTTTACCTTATTAATGTTACTGTTGGCAAAACCTATTTTTCCTAGTTTTCTAGGCAGGGCCACTGATTCTGTGACGGGCCTCTGTGATTTGTGAAATCCTGTAAGATCTCAGGAAATAGTACTTTCATTTTTTTTCCCCCATGAGATCTCGCTATAAACTACAAGATTAACCTGGAAGACATTGGTGACGTAGTCTTCCCAGGAGGCAGCTGGGAGGCCCTAGATACATCACCAGTGCCTTTGGAAAGGCGGAAGTAAAAATTATAACATTAATTTAAGAAATTATGGCATTTTCCAATACAACTGTATACAGACACTCCTCAGTATATGATGGGGTTGCGTTCCGATAAACCCATTGTAAAGCGATCGTTTTGCAAACCGAAGATTTGTATATACATGAGATATTCAACATTTTATTATCAAATACAGTAGGCTTTTGTCCATCTGTAGGTTAATGTAAGTGTTTCAGCCAAGTTTAAGGTATTCTAAACAATGATATATACAGTACATACACAACCCAAGGAGCATCTCTATACAATATATATACACTGGTATCGCATACGATTGTAAATGAGAAAAATCGTAAACCGAACTATCCTAACCCGAGGAGCATCTGTACAAATGTATTTTACTGCTGAGCATAGAGAGCTGTATGCGTTTTTAAAGTTTTGGGGGAAAGGTCCACTTTAAGTCCAAGCAATAATCATCATATTCACTTGATTGAGTATTCAAATTACACATTCATATAAATGCCAGTTATAAAATAAAATAAAGCTAAGTGAATGTTCTCTACTACTTTAGTGAATTAATCGGTTCAATGTCTGTCTTTTGCCCAGAAATACATTAATATTCATGGCCGACTCCATGTACCGTACTTATTCAATGGTTCATAGTTCTATTTTTGTTAGGAGTGGCAGGTTTTTCCTGCATCTCCTGGAGGTGCATTGGAAAGTGTCAGGAGCATCAAGAGGCATCATCTATCCTCCTGACTGACAGTGAGTGATTTGAAAAAAGATTGTGTGTGGGCAAGGAGGTGTTTGAGGGGGTGCAGGGGCTGAGGACCTTGAATTGATTCTAGGGATGAAAGAAAGGAAAGGATGTGATGGGACAGTGCCAAGAGATGACAACAGCGTCTGAGGTCTTATTAAAGGTATGCACGGACATTAATCAAGATATCATTACTGCCGGTATGCTGCTGTCAGAAGGAATGCCTAGTGCAAAAATATTTGAAATGATATAGTACATTTTTCACTCTGTCTTGTACTTTTCAATTTAGAGTACATTGTGGAGAATGTATCAAATCTGGAGCAGTTGCCCATAGTAACCAATCAGCTTCTCTCTTCAGTTAGGACTTAAAAATGAAAGATATATGCTGATTAGTTACTATGGGTAACTACTTCAGATTATGTCTGTTCCAGTGTTTGTCAATTAACCTTTTCTAGCCATTAAACTATAACTTAAGGCAAAAAGTTTTTTAGGTTTGGATGTAGTGATGATAAGTTAGAACCACTGTAAGGTTTTTTTTTCTGTCTGTGTCCCCATTAGAGAAATTCACTCTCTAAATATCCTGGTCACCAATGTTACCAGGAATAAAAGATTGAGTTGTCACCAAAACACAGGGGAGAATCCAGGGTCTAGTCTCGGGTGGGACACTTTCAGAAAATAGGGTGTTGCTTACAGAAGAGAGTATTGCACTAATACATTATGTTGCAGTTGTTTGTTATTTATAACAGCAATTGTGCCTTTTTTTTTTTACATATGCTAACACTTTTGTGTGCAAGATTAGAATCTCTGCCAAACTCATTTGGCACATTACTGTCATTAACCACTTGCTGCCCGAAGCAATTTCTTACATTTGCACACAAATGATAAAATTAGACTTTTTGGCTAGAAAACAACTTCGAACCCCCAAACAATCAAACATGTCAAGCTTTAAAATTGCGTGTGTCCGTGAAACCGCAAAAAACTACAATAACTTTCCCATAGGCAACGTGTTAAATGCTTTAAATGCTTTAACAGCTCATCAGTTTAGTTCTAACAGTGATTGATGGACCCAGAATTATTGCTCTCACTCCAACGCTCGCGGCAATATATAACATTCGCAACGCAATTTTTATTTTGCGCTAAGGCGTTTGCGTTGTATGTGCGTGCATGCGGGGGACTTAAAACATTTTTTTTTCATTTTTAATTTTGTTAATGTTTTTTTTATGTTACTTTAATTTTTACAATTTTTTTAACACTCAGTTTTATTGCTATAGCATATGTGGATAACAAGCCCCCTATGTAATAGCAAATGTATTGTGACAGGTCCTCTTTATGGATACATCAGGGGTCTTTCAGACCCCTAATATCACCTAGGGACCCCAATGAAGCTGATGAAGCAGAGATCTGCTTCACCAGCTTCTTCTTCTGGCTCTAAGAGCCGGAGACTGTGTACAGTGACACCGGAAGTGATGTAATGCACATCACTTCCGGGTCCACTGATCAAAGGAGATCCGATGATGTACAATTACGTGAACCCGTGGGAAGTGGTTAACACTGCACAATACTGAGTTTGTTTTATTGCTGTGGAGCTTTGTGGTGCAATGCTAGGGCCAACCACTGTGACCCTGGTAGTTCTGTCACTCTATAGAGTAATACAAATACCAGCAATACATCATACATCAATGCAGAATACCACCAGCTATAGAGGACTGCACATCCCAGCAATACATTAGACAGAAATGCAAAATTCCACCAGCTATAGAGGACTACAAATCCTGCAATACATTATGCAGCAATGCAGAATGGTGCTGGCTATAGAGGACTACAAATCCCAGCAAAACATTATACAGTAACACAGAATCATAGTATATGAATTTTCTACATACTCTGTGCTGCCACTCTGCTCTGGGTTGATGTCTCAGACTGAGGGTCTCAGGAGGGGAGTGGGGGGTCTAAGGAGGGGTGCGGAGGGTCTCAGAAGGGGTGTGGAGGCTGTCAGGAGGGGTGCAGAGTCTGTCAGGAGCGGTGCACAGGATCTCAGAAGGGGTGCAAACTGAGGGTCTCAGGAGGGGAGTGGGGGGTCTAAGGAGGGGTGCGGAGGGTCTCAGAAGGGGTGTGGAGGCTGTCAGGAGGGGTGCAGAGTCTGTCAGGAGCGGTGCACAGGATCTCAGAAGGGGTGCAGTGGAGGGTCTCAGAAGGGGTGCGGTGGAGGGTCTCAGAAGGGGTGCGGTGGAGGGTCTCAGAAGGTGTGCGGAGGACTTCAGAAGGGGTGTGGAGGGTCTCAGAAGGGGTGTGGAAGGTCTCAGGAGGGGTGACAGAATCTCAAGCAGAGGGGATGTGAAGGCAGCGAAAGCGCTTCCCAAGAAGGCTGCCGAGAGGTCCCCAGCAAGGGTGGGACCTAGGGCAGCCATTTCAATTAAAAAATTTAGTTTTTTGTATCGGGGCATTTTCACGAGTACTCCTAATCGTTAAAATGCCTAGTATTGGCACCAATAACAATACTCATATCAGTGCATCCCCAGCTGAAGGCTTTCCTAAAGGCTTCACCCTGTGCTCATCTAAGATAGGTTAATGTAAGTGTTTCAGCCAAGTTTAAGGTATTCTAAACAATGATATATACAGTACATACACAACCCAAGGAGCATCTCTATACAATATATATACACTGGTATCGCATACGATTGTAAATGAGAAAAATCGTAAACCGAACTATCCTAACCCGA